AAAATTTTCAAAATGGTAGTCTTGTGTTCCTAAATGTATTTATTTTATTTATTTATTTTTTTCAGACACATATGCTGCAGCAAGAGCTAAACTTAGCAAGGCCGAGGATACATCAGATTTACAAACTGACACTGAAGTGCCAATGAAGCGCAAAAGATTGCAAGTTAAAACTTGTTTTCTCCGTGATTCTAGCTAGTTGGTGTTAGGAGCTATACTATACCAAAAACATATTATTTTGCTTCAATTTAAATATATATGTCTGTGGGATACATCAGATTTACAAACTGACACTGAAGTGCCAATGAAGCGCAAAAGATTGTAAGTTAAAACTTGTTTTCTCCATAAGTGATTCTAGTTGGTGTTAGGAGCTATACTATACCAAAAACATATTATTTTGCTTCAATTTAAATATATATGTCTGTGGGTGACACCAACATTTTAGATAACAGTAAAATTTCACAATTCTCAAATTTTATACCAAAAAAATAAAATACTAGACTGACTAATTTAAAATTCATACATTATCAAAGACAAGTGAACAGTAAGTAATAAAATATGAACAGCACAAATAAATACAATAGTAAAAAGATACAAGTGAAGTAAAAAGTTTATTCAGTTGGTATAACAGTAATATTCAGGTACACTGCAAAAAATGCTTTTCTAGCTTAGATTTTTTGTCTTGTTTCCAGCCAAAATATCTAAAAATTCTTAAATCAAGAAGGATTTTCTAGACAAGTAAAAAATAATCTGCCAATGGGGTAAGCAAAATAATCTTATTTCAAACAGAAAACAAGATTATTTTGCTTACCCCATTGGCAGATTATTTAGCTTGTTTCAAGTAAAAACTCACTTAAATTCAACTTGTTTTTTCTGAAAACAAGACAATAATTTTTACTTGTCTAGAAAATCCTTCTTGATTTAAGATTTTTAGATATTTTGGCTGGAAACAAGACAAAAAATCTAAGCTTTTGACTGGTACTGTACTATAATATACACAAAGAATAGCGGCCGATATATCGATATCGGCATTTTTTTAAAACCTCTAAATATCGGGTATTGACCCCAAAAAAACCATATCGGTCGGGCTCTAGTGTACAGTTATCAAATGTAAATTAACACTGTATAGTAGGGCTGTGAATCTTTGGGTAGACAGTGAATCGATTCGATTCACGATCCATAGGTTTTTCGATTCGATTTAAGAACGATTTTTGCAAATTCAGAACGATTAAATTAGATTGAAACTCTAGGTTAGAGGGGAAAAAAAACACTTTTGTTCATTGTTAGATGCTATTTTAATGATGCTATGGCATGACATTGCATATGTAGACATTTATGTAAGCCAAGAGCTTATACATAATACTTTTAAGAGCTTTAAAAGTATTATATAGGCTAACATTTTGTCACAGTAGGGATGTAGCCATTTCAGAAGTGACCGAAATGCCAAATACAATACTTTTATGTAGGCCTATGTATGTATGTATTATTATTATTATTATTATTTTTTTTTTTTAGAAGGAATTCTTTTCTTATCTCTTACTTTGAATTTGCTATAAGAAGTCAAATACACTGCTGGACAATAATCAATCATTTGTAATCTATAATTTTTTCCTTATGGCAATTTTATGATTGTTTTATATACTAAAAACAAGTTTTGCTTCAACCCTAATCAAACACACCTGAACAAGCTAATCAAGGTTTGAAGGGTTATTAGGAAGCTACAGGCAGGTGAGTTTTAATTAGGGTTGGAGCTGAACTCTGCAGGGCTGCGGCTCTCCAAGACTGGAGTTCGCCACCCCTGATATACACCCAAAGCATGCGCACATAAAGCTGCCTCTCAGACAGTGTGCGTCTACTGAATTGAGTTATTTTTAGTGGCTCATCGCATGTACATTTTCTGATACACACAAAAATGTCAAATTGCCCATCTTGGCGAGTATTCTAATATTAAATAAATATATATATATATATATATATATAATATATTAAGTGAACATAAACAGTGGAGAAACAATGCATGTCTATTCATATATACGTATAGGTAGATGCCCTATTAGCGGCTGTTTGTATGGGCCACGATATGCAAGCCTTCCGCCATATTGCAATGATCAGAGCCAGTCTGTTGACACTTGAGAGATGCAACCATAGTTATACACATTCAGCAATAATTTTGCTAAACTATCACAATACAACAAGATGAATCCGTTAGCAAACAACATTAAAAAGTTACTATAGTTTAAAAAGCTGTAATATTGAGTTAATACATATCTAAGAAAAAACAAACCAACACATTCTTACCTGTGAAAGTTTATCCAATTTTTCAGGAATTTAAATTTTGGCGTTTTGTTGCAACTAGAGGCTGCGTGCGCAATGTTGTGGTATCTCATTGATTGACAAAACTCATTGGTTTCTATTGTAAGTGACCACACATGGACCGTTCCGAGATGGCGACGTGTCTGGAGCAGTCAAATGTGGCGTCTACCTACATATCTAAGTGTGTATCAGTATATTATATCTATGCGTGAGGTCTTAAAGAGACAGTAGCCTAAATAAACCTGCTACTGTCAGTGTCATTAATGTTAATCAAACAACATAAGAGAGTAGTGTTGTCAAAGGTACCGACTTCGGTATCAGCTGGTATTGAAATTTTACAAATGTTACGATACCAGCAATTTCCTGTGAGCATTTTTGAGCGGATTCTTGTGAGCATTTTTGAGCGGATTCTTAAAACACCTCTGATTGGCCATTGTTCATGTGCTCAACAGATATGTCTGTGATTGGGTACAATGATCATTGATTCACGCTCTTCACTGAGCGCTTACACAGACACACACAGGAGCATTTGAAATCCGCATCTATCAGCAGATCTGTCAGCGGATCCCTAATATATCTGCTCATAGACAGATCCTCTGAGACGAGGCTTTCAAATGCTTCCATGTGTGTCTGTAAGCGCTCAGTGAAGAGCGTGAATCAATGATCATTGTACCAATCACAGACACATTTGTTGAGCAGGTGAAAACAATGGCCAATCAGAGGTGTTTTAAGAATCCACTCAAAATGCTCGCAGGAAATTGCTGGTATCGTAACATTTTTAAAATTTCAATACCAGCTGATACCGAAGTCGGTACCTTTGACAACACTACACAACACGATGATTATTGTAGTCAATCACAGACATATCTGTTAAACGCGTGAACACAAGTGCTGGAAATGCTGGTATCGCTACATTTTGGGTGTTGGAAAAGCGCTATATAAATAAAAATGATTACTATTGTTTTAAAAATGTCAGTACCGACTGGTACTGAAGTTGGTACTTTTGAAAACACTAAGAAAGAGAAAATCTAAAATGAAATTCAGGTTCTGAGATCACTCTGCAGGTGAACTGATTTACGCATGTCATCTACAAATAATTTTGTTTGTGTTTGTACTTAGGTTGCAAAAGTAGCAGATATTGGTGGTTCTTCATTGGATGATGCTACAAGGAGGATGATGAGATTCCTGATTTCAAATGAATTGGCGATCCAGTACTATCTCTTTGGCCGTCATGGCAAGAAAAGATTTTGAGATCTGTGCCTTTTTGACGTCATATGTGGTAAATGTGTTTTATTGTTTAACTGCTCATACAGATTTGTTTAAAGCTCTTTTCACAATACACACTTACGGACACTACAATTCTCAATATTATATTGAACCATTCGGTACGACATCCACGTATCAATAACAATCATAATGCCAGGTTTACATTACTGTGTATGCGGTGAGTATTTTTTCCGCGCTCTTTTTCTTATACATAGTTTAGTAGCCTACTATTCTTTTTGGCAGAATTGATCATTAATCTTGTAGCACGATCATTAATTTTGTATCACCATAGTCCCTAAATGTATGTACATGCAATAAGTAACCAGAAGGCTAAACATCTAGATTCAAGAAGTGAATCGTACAGTCACTATTATGCCAGTAATACTCTGAAGTATCTGGTAGCAACTTCTCCATCTGGATTAGCCATGTTTATTTCAGAGGCTTATGGTGGCAAATGTAGCGACAGGTACATTGCACAGAACTCAGGGTTTCTGGACTGCTTGAGGCCCGGAGATGAGGAGATGGCGGACCGTGGATTCACTATCAGGGACTTATTGGAGGAACGCAAGGTGAATTTAGTTATGCCAGCATTTACACGCAAACAGTGCCAGCTGACTAATGAGGAAGTCACCCACACGCGACACATTGCTCATGCCCGCATTCACATTGAACGGGCAATAAGGCGGCTAAAGGTGTACAAGATTCTCTCACAGACTTTGCCTATTAGTTTGGTCCCAGAGTTTGATAAAATACTGCGAATTTGTGCTGCTCTTGTAAATCTAAGAGAGGAGCTTATCTCAAGCACATAGATAAACATTTATCATCACTTAAACTGCATGTGCTTATAGTTTAATGTCATTAACAAGATACATGTTATTAATACATGTTGTTTTTGTACACTTATGTGGACAGTAAAAATATTTACAGGATTCTTTCATGTATTTCATTCTCGTGTTGCTTAAAAAATAAACTGATGAAACTTATTTACATTGTATTGGTATGTTTGTATACTTGTGTACCACATTCCTCACCCTCTACTTGTTTAAAAGCTGCAGGTATTTGCACAGATTTATCTTCTTATCAGCAAAATCATCAACTAATGCTGGCAGCATGTGTAAAAAGTAAAATTTCTGTAGCTGTTGCACATGAGCTTCTGCATAATTTTTGTCAAATGGAATGTCCATTTCTAGGTGCTCAGTTGATGTCCAGATGACCAGCTTGCAGCTCAGTAGACCCACACACATCATGGTCAACTGGACCTGAAGGAAGATGTCACACTTCAAAGTTCAATAATTTGATCAAATTGAATTGAATTTGTATTGCAAAAATTGTGCTTACAATTTAATTTATACTTTATAATAATTTAAATAGTGCTTTTATTATATGCATATTATGAGTTAGGTTGTCATCTACATGTATGTATGTGGTTTTTTTGTGTGTGTGTGTTTTTTTTACTCACTTGGAGGTAGTATCCATCCTTTCCATCCGGAAGACTGGGCTAGCTGCCAACCAAGGATGTTCAGGATGGATCACCAGGCCTCTCCTCTCCACAGCGTGCCCTCGGCTTTTCATGAGTTGGATGATATTGCCCTCATTTTCTTTGCCATATTTTGTAGCAGTATTACCTTTGAAGGCTGGGTAGAAGTGCTCATTGCGGAATTTTTGGGGGTTAGTAGTAGGTCGTTTGGGTACTTTCTTTGCTGTGCTGGAGCTTTCTGGCGTCATGCTGGCGTCATGCCACATTTGTGAGGTGCTCTGGACCTTAGTTTCTTCCATTAGTGTAGTTGCTTGGGTGGGTGATAGTTTTATGTAGGACTCATAAAACAAAAGGCACTTTCTACAACTTTGTGTTAAGCTGTGGTCTGTGTGTGATATGTCTGTATCATGTTCACTTGAGCTGGTCTTGTTGCTGTCTACATCTGCTCTGAAGCTTAGGTGAAGAAGACCTTCTGTCTGCAGCTGAAACAGTGGTGCCATCACAGATGAACTGCTATGGCTTACAAACTCAGCATGGTTCTTGAAATGTTGGGGTAAGTTGTCAGATCTGGAGGTAATGATGATGGGCCTGGATATGTGTGGCCTGGTCTATGGCGTTTAAAGTTGATGTGTTTTGCCTTCCTCAGCCCTACATTCTTCCTCGTGCCTGCATTCCACTTCCTTTGCACATCAGTACATGACATGCCTGTCTTGCCTTGCCTGACTGCATTCTCTACCGTTATAGAAGAAATAATAGTCTTTCTTACTCTTTATTTTCTTGCCTCCCTAGGATTGTAGCTTTTAGATATTATAGAACACATTAGTTAGCACTCAGATTATGCTTTTACTACTAGCTTAATACTAATGGTAATACTAATAATATACCGGTAGTACAATCATCATCATCAATCCCACTTCATATTAGGTGTCTTTAACGACTATGTGCATATGGGGAGAATTTTTATTTACCCCTTTTTTTTTTTACATTTGATGCCTTTAACGACTGAGAATTTTTTTTTACCCTTTTTTTTTAACATTTGATGCCACTGAGGTGTGATTTGGGTAAGGCTGGCACAGGTTCCATGGTATGGGTAGGTTTAAGGGGTATGGTTAGCAGTGTAATTTTAGATGTTTTATCATTTTGATTATAATTTTAGTATTTACTGTGTAAAAACGTATTTACACAATGCACAGTGCATTGTATCAAATTATACATTTAAATGTTAGTACATTGTGGTTAAACACAGTTTATTTAAAGTGAGTCCTCATCATGTTTTTTTTTATTTTTTAACATGTATTTACTGACCTTCCTCATTACTGCAGCTGCGTTACTACATGAGCGCCCTGGACCTGCGATACATGAGCACCCTGCCGTCTGTATGACACCTGACGTAGACACTAAAACCCAAGCTTTATGGTGTGACACAGTAACATTAACCCTGCCTGCTTTAAATGTTTCAAAATAATTAAAATTTGAAAACAATAGAAATTTAGAAAAGTAATCAAGTGAAATCAGTTACATTACTTTAATAAAGTAACTGAAACAGTTACATTACATATTACATTTTAAATAGGGTAACTTGTAATCTGTAACCTATTACATTTCCAAAGTAACCTTCCCAACACTGGACCTGACACCTTACAACTCCGACAAAGAGAGTTGACAAAATTTAACTAAAATATAAACCCATATTGGATTTTAAAGGCTATCATTCCTTAAAACAAAATCCCTTTTTTTAACTGTGATAATAGAATGCAAAATGCAAAAGAATGCAAAATGTTTTGCAGATTGATATTATTATTTTTTTTACTATAGTATAATAGATTTGAATACATTGTAAAATGAAGTTAATGTTAAATTAATAATTTTCATTTCTGGAAAAAGAAAATAGGAGTAACTTCTGTAATTAAAAATGTCATCAAATCAGGAGTCTGTTTTCAGCATTTAAACATCAAAATCAATAATATAATTGACCATATAGGCTACAATTAGGTTTATGCACTCCCCATGCATGAAGAAAATAAGGTTGCATCCCAGGAGCTCTACAAGAATGTTATAGTGATTAATGCAGCCAAGGAAAACATGAAGAAAAGAAAGTGGAAAATAACACAGGTAAGACAAATAAATTAATTATTTTCATTTACATATTAAACTGTTGGTAAGCCGACAAGAAATTTATTTAGGAAAATTATTGTTTTAGCTATTGCATTTAAGACTGCTATACTATGTGCAGCTCAAAAAAAAAAAAGTAATGTAGCCTATGTCCCAATGTGGCTATAAGCAAGTGTCGATCAAATGAGCACATGATAGAATGACATCACTTCAGTGCACGCAGCATGTATCCATGGCAACGCTCAGCTGCGTAGTGACAGTTAACGGTCCTCGGTGATTCCTCAGACACGGCCTTGAGTTTTCGCTTTCGTTGGTCGAAAAGGTATTTATACTTTTATATTTGTAGACATTAGCTACCGTAACCACTGTGTATTTCGTAATGCTTACATTTTATGAAAAGTTTTGAAAAGTACTTTTTTAAACGTTTGCTGAAGTTGTCCCATACGGCTACTGACGTTAGCCTATGTGAACACTTTCGAAGCTAACGTTAGCATGCAAAGCTGAAATGATTAAACGTATATAATATTGACAGATATTGAACTTAAATATTGAATTTCCATATGGTAAAAATACACACTGATACGCCTATATGCGGCAAAAAGGCCTAACGTTATGTGCGCTAAATTTCGGACCGCTTGGTCTAAATCCAAATGTGTTCATTTTGTTGTTTTAGGTTAGAGGTTTTACCCAAAGTTAAAGAGTAAAAAACGAAAATAAGACAGGGCAAATGAACTCGTTAAATATCATTCTAATACATAGTTCATAAAACTGCAGTGTCATCAGTTTGTCTAAAAGAATACAGAACGTTTGAATATTTTATGCACCATTTACCATGGTAGGGAGCAGGTGTAAATTACTTTCGTACCAACCTGTTGTTATACAGTCTATGGTACCAACTAACATTTTCAAAATACGAACATTTTCATGAATCCGAAAATTTCCTTAGTCAGTTGTGTTTTCTATTAGTAAATCGACATTACAATAATTACAAAATATACTATTTTATAGAATATTTATTATAATATTTGGCAACAGCAAAGTACTATATAACGTCTTTTATTTTGCTCTATGCAAACGTATTATTTCCGTTGCGGGCAGATTTTGAACTTTCACCCGGTATCTAGTCCTTCCTCTTCCGTCTACAGTGATAGCAGGTATGGCGGATTGTCTTTGAGCTTAAAATGTGATTGAACTATCTATTGTCATCTGCCGTTTTTGAAGATCAAATATATGATATTAAGAATTTTACGTATAGTTCGCATTCTCTCGGAGAATATCCTTGCCATATTAAGTCGAATTAATTTAATAACGGATTTTTGTTACTGTTTGAGTTGACGCTGGGAAGCTGTCGTTTATCCCTCACAAACGCGAACCTATCGGACTACGATTTTACAGTTACTATCTTACAACAGAGTGAAAGTGTACCGCTGTAATATTCGTTGATTTGTTTAAAACGCATATTTAACAGATGTTTGGACACTTGTAAAAACGCATATTTAACAGATGTTTGGACATTTGTAGCTTATAAGCTAAATGGTGCTTATTCCGCTACTTAGCCTGAACTCCACACAGGCTTTGACATCTGTTGAACAGGCATAATTAAATAAAGTGTAATTTTTCAGGTCAAGATGGTGCAGCGCCTGACTTACCGACGTAGGCTTTCCTACAACACTGCTTCAAACAAGACCAGACTGTAAGTGTATTTCCTGCATTAATGCAAATAGATCTTCACCAAGTACCAACGTTTTTTTTTTGGCAATATAGTGTTCAGTGCAGACTTCAAAAGCTGTACTTAACGACTGCTTTGTCACTCAGGTCCCGTACGCCAGGTAACCGCATTGTGTACCTGTATACCAAGAAGACTGGCAAGGCACCCAAGTCAGCATGCGGAATCTGTCCCGGTAGACTGCGTGGTGTAAGTGGTGCACTACATACAGTTCTTTCCTGTGTGCGTAGACTATACCGTTATCTTAAGTACGCTGATAGAAATGGTGTTTGAGGGTAGAAGCCAATAAATCTGGTGGAATCTAGAAAAGGAGCAGTGTTTGTTTCTTGGCTCTTGTTTATTGAATACAGCTTTGTTGTAGAGTAAATTGTATGTTTTCATGAGATTAAAAATATTTAGTAAAGTAATTCATATAATCTCTCGAGTATTTTTATAGTATTTCTAAGTTCTAATGCCACTTAGTTTGTAGCATAGTATATCAGTGTTAAAGATAAGATCAGTAATGTGTCTTTTGGGGTAATTTATATCTAATATTAGGGAGATCAAGTAAAATATGATCTACAATAGCATAGCAGATGTTAACATCTATTGAAAGTCTTGGTAGCTACATCAGATTGGATTACAGAATAGTTTTAATTTACATCAAACTAGACATAAGTGAACACATGATTTAAACATGTTCAACATATGTTTGTTCCTCAATAGATCCGTGCTGTGAGACCCCAGGTTCTTATGAGACTCTCAAAAACCAAGAAGCATGTCAGCCGAGCTTATGGTGGTTCCATGTGTGCCAAGTGTGTACGAGACAGGTAACTGACTGAGACATTGCATAGCCTGTTTATATATAATTAGATTAATAATGGGTTCATCCAAAAATTGTTCAATATGTAAAGTATATTTTATTTAGATTGCACATTTAAACACAGCAAAGCTGACCAACGTCCTGAACAGAGAAAAGAGAGCCCACCAGAATAAATAATAAAACCAAATAATCAAAACAACTTATAATGCCTAGGAGTTAGGGTTGTGCGAAATATATTGTCTACACTAATATCGTAATTGTTGTTTAAATGATATATGATTTGACATTATCGAGTACAGAGATTAAAGTTCCATCGCTACGACAGATTTCCGTCAGTTCATAAAGACAGTCTCTTGCTTCATTCCTGAATGATTCAGCCGTTCGAACGAATCAATTGAATGAATGATTCGTTCGAACGGCT